AAAAAAAAAAAAAAAAAGTCCGGAGGGAGTGAGCGAGCTCAGTGGAAAAAAAAGAAAAAAAGAAAAAATGTGACGCGAACGCGCAACCGCAGCCCCTCCTCCTTCTCTCTGGCTGTCTCTCTCGTGGCCGCGCGTATGGCTGATGGCGTCATCTGGGCTCCATATTTGGAGATGTCACCGGTGTAAATAACGTTACCAGGCAGCAGAAACAGGCTGAAGTCAAACTGCACGAGCCTGACGGAGCTTCTTTCACGAGCTTTTAGAAAAGACATTATTTAAGGTGATCAGGTTTAAAAAAAGAAAAGAAAATAGTTTGAAAAAATCGTTCACAAGCAAAACACATAAAAATGCACCAATTAAAAATGCATGGAAAGCTATTTTTTTGTTTGTTTTTATTTTTTCTGCAAGAGAATGCATGCTGTTTTGTGATTTGCTCACTTGTTATCAGGAAATCTAGCCTAACACTTGTGACAAATTCACACTTTGTTTCTGAAATCCAAAATGTTTCAATAAAGACATTTTAAAGTCATAAATGTAATATTTAAAATGCAAGCCCATCATTAATATTTTTCTGTTTGGGCTTTCAGATTTAATAATTTCCACCATGATCTCGTATAGGCTAAATTATAATTACACAAAAAGTAAGTGAATTTGTGTTTGGTTGATTATTTCTTTATTGTAGTGCATGGGAAGGCCTGAGGCACAGGCAGCATAGGCAAATGCAAATGCTGTCTATATAGGGGGCACCGTAAATGGGGGACAAAAATATTTTATTCACTCTCCCAAGAATTTAGTAAAATGTTCTTCAAATGATAGGAAAATGCATAGTTTTGAGTAGATCTTTTGTAAAAAAAAAAAATAATAATAATAATAATTCCAGGGCTTATACCCACAGAACCCCTTGAACTGCTTCACTCCACAGCTGCTTACATGAAGTGTTCCTCATTGCTGTCAGCAAAGGTTGGCAGGTATAGATTTCTGGTTTTCTGTTTTAAATGAATTCAAGCATTTTAATTGGTCAAACTAGTTTCCAAAGATAAAAAAATAATATCAAAATAAAACTATGTGGATGTATGTAAATTTTCTGTGAGATTTAGAAAATTGCTCAAATCTTGACTATAGGACGTCAAATCTGCTAGGGCTGGCCATATTGTGGTGCTTCTTGGCAATAAAGCTTCATTTCTGTAATTTCTCTTTGGGATCAATAAAAGTGTTTTTTAATTTGAATTGAATTGAATTAACCCTGGTGGAAAGTATAAAGTTTTTATTTAATTGCAGCAGAGTTCATTATGTTGATTGTGCCCCAAAAAATTGACCACTGCCAAACAGCTTCTTCTACTATTGACTCTTATTTAGAGCTTCTGGTACCGCAGGTGCTGATAATCTGATACCTGACTGACTGAATACCTGTGGGAATAACTTGGGTCTGTTTTGTTTTCCAGGGTGACCAACTCAACCACAATGGCTGACGTGCAAGAAAATACTGGTTGAAGAATTGGGTGCTGTCCAACAACAGTTTGTGACCAAGGTGGCTGTGTATGGTTCTTCCACACAGATACCCCTGTTTGTTAAATGACTAAAATGTTAAAGTGCCACTAAGTCTTGTTTCTTTATACACCAGTCAACCAGTCCAGTAATAAGATCATACAAGAGTCAAGAACAGGATACGATGTTTATCATAAGATTTGAAAAGTTTTAATCAGCCCAAAGCGCACTCGCACACGTGTGTGACACACGCACACAGCTTTGTATTTCTATCCTTATTAGGACCGTTCTTTGACTTCCATTCATTTCCAGTCATTTCTACAGCCTAACCCCTGACCACAAACCCTAAGGCTAACCTCACAGGTACCTACCTGACCCTAAAACTAACCTAAACTCAATTCATACCT